CACACCTCTGTTCCTCATCTCTTCCTCGTCTGCCTTCTTGTTGGTTTTAAAAAAAAAAAAAAAGTCCAGAAACTGCACTCTATTGTTCCAATCCCTAATCTACCCTTCCAACTCTATTTCTTGTTTGTTCACCTTAAGGTCTTAGCTCAGCAGAAGTACTTCCTGTTATGCCATACAAGTCGCACATTTAATTCATTGTTCATTCATTCATCATTCAATTTGGTTAATAATTATCCTATTATCTACATTAGTTGGCAACTGGTAGCACAGATAATATGAAATGATAACATCTGACAGAACTTTTTTTTCTTTTTCTTTATAGCTTGGTCTTGACCCCAACAAAAGCAGCATCCCAGGCCCATGCATTATTGCTCTCACGTGTGTGCTCTCTCACTCTCTCTCTCTCCCTAAGACCTTGCTGTGTGGCTTCAGGTGTGCGGTGTAATTTTCAGCTCTTGTTAAATAATAAACCTCGAATTTTTCTCCAAAATTTTCTGATGGTTTTTGCTAAAGGGCACTTTGCAATCATAATACGAACCACAAGAACCTGTCCAACCACAGCAGCGGTTATTGACAGACTGAGACAGGCACAAAACAGGTCTCTTAACACATATCCAGGGCTCTTTCTTTTCTATCCATGCTGTCCATCTTTCAATGGCTGATCACTATTGGTCAATGGCCACAATACCAGGAATCAACAACTTCAGAATTAGTCTGTGGTGAGAATCACAGGTCTTGGGGACCCACTGGATTTGCAACAGAGCTTACCTCCTACATAGAGCGGAGAGTCAAAATTCAGAGTCGACTGCTTTGACAAGTTGGTGATGATTTTGGGGCTCCCTCCATCCACAGAAAGGGAGAGACTCTGATCCAGGGCAAGTAGTTCCACAATGTGGAAGTTTCCATCATTGATCGTCTCCACGCTACAAAGAAAAAGCAACGTAACTAATGCTTCAATTTTCTTTTTGTTAACAAAAAGAAGTTAAAATACAAACTTCAGTAAGCACTTCTTAGGAAAAAGATACTCCTATCTAACATTAATAAAGACAAACACTAGTAGTTGATTTCAAGATAGAAGATGAAGTACAATCAATTTCTACTTTTTAGGAATGGATACAAAATAAGCTTGTTTTCCCATTGGGAGGGGTGGAAATGGATACACTGAATCACTCTCTAGTCATATTCTTCCACTATGTAGAAATTATAAAGGATAACTTATTCTTTTGCTTGTAGATGCCACTAAAGATTTGTTTTTCTAGATACTGTTACTCCAAATTGTATTTAAGACAAAGAACCCACATTGGTGCCAAATATCCTCTACAGATTATCACTGGCTTTGATCTTTTAAATGCTGCACAGTAAGACTTACCCGAACACACACACAGATACAGGAAGAATCAACTTGGTGGGATCATTGTGCTTGGTAAAATGTATTAACTGATAATACACTCTTCCCTTCCTTGCATTTTCAGAGGGATGGCCATCAAATGAGATTACTGTGAAGAAGTCTATGCTCAGTGGAGAGTAACAGATTCAATGGAATGCTTAACACAGTCATAGCCAGTAGTGTTGACAATGCTTCTTCAGTTTTCTATTACTTTTAAGGGACAGGTCTAACAGTCATTCCAGAATTTGAGAGGGCATATGGAAATTCACAAAATGGCTAAAAACAAAAAGATTAAGAAACAAAGATAAATGAAAAATGGGGAGTTAAAATAAGATGAACTGGGGTACAATTACTAGGCAGGTGCTATATGGCTGTGAAGTGTGCTTGTAAATCTAACACATGGGTTAACAGCAAAGAGGAGCATGGGACCAATGAAGAAAACAAGAATTGATACATGGCAGTGTCATGAATATATTAACCTCCCACCATGGGGGCAAAATACGGCATAATGGAAGTTGGGGCCAAAAGTAAGTAGCGAATATTAAAGACCCAATATGCTGGGATATCAACTAGGAAGACGGAAAAAAAAAAGGCTCAAACATGGAAATATGGGAGCATGTGATGGAGAAACTGTGCATACTTAATATTCCCTATACAAGCCGATTGCTTAAATTTCTGGGTACTGATATTTAAGATTGCAAATAGGCCACGCCTGGAAAATAACAGAAAAAAATGTGTTGACATTTCGGTATGGTTCTCACCACAGGTGTCTAATCATATCCCTTTGTTTGCCAACACAGAATAAAAAGTTTTTGTGGTTTGACCATACTCTAAACCATTCTGCAGAACTGTGAAAATATTTGAAGTTTTCTGGTTTTAAATGGTTGCAAGAGTTCACACGTACAAAGATCTTTGATAATTTGTCTCAGATATCATCTTTTGAATGATAAATATTAAATCTGCCAATCAATGTTTTTATCTTCTGCAGATTTAATTATCCCAACACTCAATACCATTAAAATCAACAGAGGAAACAATATACAGGAAAATCATTCACTAAAAAAGTTGGATACCAACTGCTACTGGTCTTAAATACGATTGTCTTCTAAAGGAATATACCAGATGGTATTATTAGCTAATGGGTAAGCATACAGATTTTAGAGTCAGATGAACCTGGATTTGAATCCTGGTCTTGTATTTATGAAATGTTTGACCTTAGATAAGTTACTTAATTGCTTATACACTTCAGTCTTCTCTTCAGTAAATGTTAATATATATTTCACCCTCTGGTGATTAATTTGAGGTCGTATGAAATATATATTTTTTTACAAGTGCAGAGTGAGACATCCAGCATATATAAAGTGCAAAGTTAAAGGTTAGGTATCAGCATCACCATCACGGCCACCGCCATCATCATACAAATAATCCAGTATTATTTCAGTATCTTCTTCAGGAAGAAATTAGCTTTATTTTTTATGTTAACTGTAAAATAATGCTAAAGACTAGCAGAAATATAACAGCTTCTTTGGGGGCATATCTTGTTCAAGTTACTAAAGTTTTACGTAAACTATTAAAATGAAAATATGCATAGAGAGAGTGGGGACCAATTAATTGCTTTTTCCATTGTGATCATATACAATATGTAAGTGGTTTTCTATGACTGCTCTATGAGCACTGACCTTGATTAAGTCATAAATATTAACATGGGACTTGCTTTTTTCTTTACATTTGCAAAGAAAAGTCCCATTTGTACTAGAAAATGGGTTCCTGGTCACACATCAGTCTTAGACAATCAACGCTGGCATGCCATCGTTAGTGTTTGATGCAGTATAACTGAGTAAGCTACTTCAAAGCAGGAGCCATGTGTTATTTATTTCTGTATTGCTTAATGTATCCAGGAAAGTTTCTGATAAAGAGTAGATGCTCAATAGATATATGTTAAGTAAATGAAATGCGAGGGAGGTTTATTAACAATAACATACAGTTTTTTAGCACTACTAACTGGATTATGGGTATAGTAAAGAGGTTTCAAGCAGACCCAGGGAAGGACATCCAAAAGATGAATTTTACTTAAAAATTTGGATTTTTCAGTAGTCATATTCTGCAGGAAATACTGGGAGATATATCTGGTTCAGTGTGTCCTCCTTAAGATGTGTGACGTTGGATTAGTGTGACTTCAAGTCGTTTTTCTGTTTTATTTTCCTCATCAGGGAAATGCAAATAATAAGACCAAAGAATTACTTAGCCCAGACTATCGGCCGGGTGCTGTTCTAAGAACTTCACATGTAATAACTCTTTTAAGAATCAAAACAACCCTAACAACCAGGCACTTAGGGTACTCAAGGGGGCAAAGCCCGCTGCTAAAACAGATTGGAAGCTGGGGTTCCTGCTTCTAGAGTACACATTTTTAATTATTACGTGCCACATTTACAATAAAAAACCTGAAAAGTAACTAGTACTATACAAATGGCATGTGTTCTCATCACTACCAAGCTTCTAATAGGGGATTTTTCTCCCAAATATCCCAAGAATAACGTTCTATGAAAAAAAAAAAACACTTATATGATGGTTACACAATTTGGTACATTTACCAGAAATCATCGAATTGTAAAAAAAAAAAAAATAAAAATAAAGAAAAAGTAATAATCTTATTAAAAAAATGTTTATTTTTGAGAAATGGAGAGAGAGTGAGAGCAGGTAAGGGACAGAGGGAGAGGGAGACAGATGATCTGAAGCAGGCTCTGTGCTGACAGAACGCGGGACTCGAACCCACGAACATGAGATCAGGACCTGAGCCAAAGATGGACTTGTAACCGACTGAGGCCCCCAGTCGCCCTCAAAGTCATAATCATATAATTCGAGTCTGAAGGTTATGAGAAGACATATAAAGTACATAGATTTCAAACATGGAATGGGATTCTATTTTCCCAATCATATGTGAAATTTAGACTGGTTAGATTTTTCTCCTCCCAAAAATTATCACTAAACTTAATTCCATTTCTATTTCCCTGGAATCAAATGAGGCCTCACCATGGTCTTTTGACAGATAAGTGGTGTGAAATTAATATTTTTAGATTCTTTGCTCATTAAGATGATACTGTGTGTATGAGCCTGAAGAGAGGACTTGAGAGCTAAGAATATTCTAAATTGGTGTTTCAAGCTGCCCTTTGAAGCAGGAGATTAACAAGGGGATGTCCAGAAATCCTTTGCCTCTATACCATTTAAAATAAAAGCAGTGACTAACACATCAGTTGTTACAAGATACTACTGAGCCATCATCGATTTTACAGTCTATCCCGGTCATTCTTACCTATCCACTCACAATGCACAACATCCTTTTGGGTTCTGAGAAGTATTGATATGCTCTTTCACTACTCCCGAGGGAACTGTGTAGTTGATGACTCATGAGAGTCACAAGTGAATCACTTAACATTGAGACTTTCCACTGGGAACACACATCGAATTTATTACCATTAGTATGCATTTAGTTTTACTACACTTGCCTATTAGCTGAGATTTTGTTTTCTTGATTTTCTCAGTGGATGTATGAAAACAAAGCAGTTACTCAACTATGTCTTGTGGTTTTGTTACAGAAAAAGAGTTTAAAAACTCAGAGCCTAAAAGAAGAGAGGCTCTAACTTGCCTATGGGGATTTTTTCTTTTTTCTTTCTTTTCTCCTTCCTTCCTTCCTTCCTTCCTTCCTTCCTTCCTTCTTTCCTTCCTTCCTTCCTTCCTTCCTTCCTTCCTTCCTTCCTTCCTTCCTTCTTTCCTTCCTTCCTTCCTTCCTTCCTTCCTTCCTTCCTTCCTTCCTTCCTTCCCCCTTTTTTTTAATGTAGGATGCATCAACATGACATTTTTATATTTCTATCTTGACTTTAAATCTTAAGGTATTTCAATAGTTTAATAAAGGCAAACAGTTTACTTGGCTTATATAAGCTCTAGTTTTTCCCCTTAAAAATTTAAAGAATCTGTTGGCATATTCTATGCAATGAAATAGGAATCAGAAGCCAGACCAATTCAACTGGTCATCTCATTTTGATTATCTCTGGGATGAAGATACTTCATCTGTGGAGATGGTGATAAAATATTTCCCCGTTTATGCCTTCAAATCAAAAGGAATAGGAGGTCAAAGGGGATTAAAGGTACTATTATTGTTTTTTAAGTGTTTATTTATTTTTGAGAGAGACAGAGAGTAAGAGCAGGGGAGGGACAGAGAGAGAGGGGGACAGAGTTTCTGAAGAGGGCTCTGCTGCTGAGAGCAGAGAGCTCGATATGGGCTTGAACTCATGAACGGCAAGACCATGACCTGAGCCCACGTTAGAGGCTTAACTGCCTGAGCCACCCAGGTGCCCCAGGGATTAAAGGTATTAATGCAGGTGCATACAAGTTTTCAAAGGGATGTCTTACAAAATAATTGATTGACCAAGCGTACTTAGATTTTAATAAGTGCTTTTGAGGCAAATTACCTAATTTAAATAAAAATGCACTAAAAAAAGGGACTTATATATTTGAACGTACAGTAAGAGTCACATGTAA